AGAAGGTACAACAGAACTCAGAGAAAGAGGACTTTGGGGAAGTGCCCTCAGGAGAGAAGTTATACAAGAATTGCAAAACTGCTCCAAGTCATCTACTCCAATCCAATACTGATCAGAAGTTCTAAACTCTTTGGCTGCAGCAAGTGGGACAGTATATGGTAACCCAGAACATCTAGCACACTTAATTATATATGCACACACTTAGATTTAGGCTTGTTTGTATGTCACTGAAATCTCAGTACAACAGTGACTTAAACAAAAATAGTAATTGATTTACCATTCATATAATAGAAATCTGAAGTTGGTAGTCAGGTACTTGTGGGGTAACTCCACAGTTAAAGGAATCCAGATTCCTTCTCTCTTTTTGTTCCAATATTCTAATTTGGCTTCTATTCTCAAAGTATTACTTTAGGGCCCAATAGGGTGTCAGGAGCTCCAACCAACTCGTCTGTTTCAGGCTGTGGGAAGGAGGAGAGGGAGAAAGGCAAAAAGGCAACAACTCTGTTGAGTCATTTCTGTTTAAATAGCCTTCTTGAAAATCAAACATTTTGTTGGCCAGAATTTAGTTACGTTGGTCATTCTTAGTTGTAAAGGAGTCCTTGAAAATGTAGTCTTTCAGGTGGGCACAATGCTACCGAATATAAAACTAGGCTCTCTTATTAATGCAGCAAAGAAAGAATAAACAGGAGTTGGCAATGAGTAGCCTCTACTATAGACTGCTTATTTATTCTTATTTTTAAATCCTCAACACTATACTCTGAAGTCTTATACTGTTAAAGTTACTCGTTGTTTTGCTTTTCTCTTCTCTGGGTCTCACTTTCTTCATCTATAAAAATGGGGTTAATCTAATTTAAAGTGTATAGTAAAAAGTACTAAGGTGATTGAAAAGATTGTATATCTGTATTTGAAACAAAGTGAACAAAGAACTGATAAACAGGGCAAAATAAATGTTTATCCAGCTCCAAATGCCTAAACAGGGATAGCCTTAAGGGAGGATTTCAGCTTCCACTAAATGATGTTTTTTTTTCCCCTTAGCATTTAAATATCTCTCAGGGGTATGAATTAATCCCCACTAGGTCATTGAGGGACTTCTAAGTGCTTAACTCTTTGTATAATTCTGCAAAAATAAGTAGGCATTAAAGATAGTCATCATGCTTGTCACGTTACTCTAAAAAAAAATAGTATTTACTTTCTAGACTTTATGTAATTTATGTTCTTTAATCTCCATCATTATTACCGGTTTTCTACTTTTTAAAAATTCTCACCCAAGGATATGTCCATTGATTTTAGAGAGAGAGGAAGGGAGAGAAAGAGAGGGACAGAGAGATAGGTAGAGAGAGAGTGATTGATTGATTATTGGTTGGTTGTCTCCCATAGGGGCCCTTACTGGGGATCAAACCCACAACCTAGGTATGTGCCCTGACCAGGGGTCAAACCTGCAGCCTTTTGGTTTACGAGATGATGCTCTCACATCTGAGGCACTTGGCCAAAGCTGGTTTTCTACATTAAAAAAAAAAATCATTATGCTAAAGTATTGGCATTCCAAGGTTTCAACAAAATGCTTTGTATATCATGCATTTTTTAATACTTTCATTCATTTACTCAATATCCATTTATTAAATATTCATTACATGTTGGGAACTATGGTTTTGTTGTAAACACAAAACACAAAGTTCTTTCCCTCAAGGAACTTACATTATAGTGTGTGTGTGTGTGTGTGTGTGTGTGTGTGTGTGTGTGTGTGTGTGTCTGTGTGAGGGGGTGTTGTTTAGGGAGTTAGACCATAAACACATAAACAAATAAATGAACAAGACAGTGTCAGATAGTGATAAGTACTATGAAGGCATCAGGAGGACAGGAGCATAGGATTGATAGGGAGGGGCTATTTTAGAAGGGGAAGTTATTGAGGAGCTAAGACATGAATATGAGATGAAGCCATTGACAAATGCATGATGTACAATGAGCGCTTATTTTATGGATAGGAGCATCTGAAAATTTTCATATGTAAAAGCAAAGCCATTCTCCCTCCACTACACAAATGATAAAAAAGCAATTTTTAAAAAATATTTTTATTTATTTATTTTTAGAGAAAGGGAAAGTGAGGAAGAAAGAGAGGGAGGGAAACATCAATGTGTGATTGCCTCTTGCACACCCTCTACTGGGGACCTGGCCTGCAACCCAGGCATGCGCACTGACTGGGAATCAAACCAGTGGCTCTTTGGTTCATAGGCTGGCGCTCAATCCACTGAACCGCACCAGCCAGGGATTTTTTATTTTTATTTTTTTTAAGATTTTTCCTTATTTTTTTTAGAGAGAGGGGAAAGGAAAAATGCAATTTTTATTTAAATAAAGTATTAACAAAAAACTGCATTCATAACATGTTCAAGAATATTAGAGTCTGCAATATAAGATTTATTTTGAAATCCAACAGCTCCCAGTACATGTGCCTTCAAAGTAAGAAAATTCAGACACTGCTCTTGCCTAATCCCCATGCTAGTTACTTCTGGGAAATGGAATATCTGAGTAATCTACAATGTTTGTTATCAACAAATTGGCAAAGGAAATTCTGTTATAAAAGTGAATCCATCCTAATTTTCTTTGAAAAAAGCTGTTTTATATTTGTGATTCATGATGTAAAATCACACATGTGCAGGAACAGAAAGTTGGGATTTGCCAGGAACAAAGCAAATTTGAGTAGACTAGAACACATTTATTCATTCAGTGCTTATAATTGGCTTCCTCAGAAATATGGGTGTTGCTCATCTAGTGATATGAATTTGAAACATACAGGGCTTCAGATTTGATCCATGGCCTTAAAAGGAATAACACACCAAACTTCATCTATAAGAACAGGTTTTTGAAAAGTTAGACTTGATTCTCATTATAACATATGTATGACACTAATTAGAGCCAAGTTCTTTTGTATGTCTTCAAAATTTGAAGAGTTGAAATTCATAAGTAAGGTAATAACAAAGCATATGGGGGAGGCAGAAGCCACCAATGAAATGGTTTCACATCAGAAAGATGTGATACTAATTTAAGAACAAATGAACTTTATAAAATGGAATCCTGCATGAGTAACACAGAGTGGAATTCGGACCCAGACAGGAAATCTGGCCTCAGAAGTGAAGTATAAACAGGAGAGACTGTGGGGAGGAGGGGACACTTTCAGGGATATTGGAATTAAATGATCTCTAGGTCCCTTCTAGCTCCATTATTCTGATTCCAAGGATGCCCAGAAGGTGTGTTAACCAGTTTTTAAAAAGGCTTTATTGAGATATAATGTACATAACCATAAAATTCACCTACTGTAAGTATATAATTCATGATTTGTAGTAAATTCATGGAGCTGTGCAAACATTACTACAATCTAACCCATATTTTTGGGTTGTTTATTGGGTAGGAATGATTTTATTTTTCTAGTAAAAAAGTACATAGTGACTCATTAAAATTGTAGATCAAGTTTAAAGGATACAAAGATGACTCACTGGAAATATGTATAATAGACATGTGCAGACAGTTGCTCTACTGAAACACAGGGAGAAAGGGAGGGAGGGTGCCCAGAGGAAGTGCGGAGCGGTGGTTACCAGCCACACCCTCCAGACAGACTGCTGAAGTTCAGATTCTGGCATTCCTACTTCCTTAACGTCTACTTGAACTCATGCAAGTTACTTAAACTTGCTGAGCCTTGGTTTACTCACCTGTAAGTTGACAGTACCTACTTCATAGGCTTACGAAGGATAAATGAGATAATGCAGTATAGGCAAGGGGCTTAGCATATTCCTGGCACATAGAAAGTACTCAATAAATACTAGCTATTTTTATAATTATCACTCGATGACCATTAGTCTTTGATGAACAGACACAAAACACCACACACTCTATGATTTTATTTACATGAGAAATCCTAGAACAAGCAAATGATGGTGGTAGAAAGCAGATGAGTGGTTGCCAGAGGCCAAGGACAGAGGATAGGTAATTGACAGCAGAGAGCACAGGGAAATTTTTGGGTTTTCTATATTATGATTGGGATGATGTTTTGTAAATATTTGCCATCCAATTACACACAAACTTGGTGAATTTTATGGTATGTAAAATAAAGCTTGACATCACCCCCCCCCATATACTTTTTAATCTACCAGTTGAATAGTTCGATTATTTTATGTCAGAAGCAAGAATCAATATCTAAACTCAGGCAACGAATATTTGTTGAGCACGTACTACGACGTGCAGGGCACTGTTCTAGGAGCTGGGTATGCAGCTTTGAAGTAGACAGGCAGCATCCCTACACTCACAGAGCTTATAGTTTAAGCACAAATTATACACATATGTTTGGGGTGACAAAGCAGTCCATGCGGGACGCTGGGGGGGACATAAAGGTGACAAGGTAGTGGGAGGAAAGGTAGAGAAGCAGTAAGTAGTATAAACATGTGCCTTGGTTTTTCTTTTAGCTTTCAAACATACACAGAAGCAAACGCAGCGTCCCTGTGTCTGAAGATGATGACCTTGACTGATCTAGTTAAGTGTCTGGGCAAGGTGGTATGACAAAAACCTCTAGGTGGTTGGTGACAATGACAGGAGACACTCTGGCCATACCATCTGTGAGATGCGGTGTCCACCTGCGAGGGAAGACTGGCACCAGCCCTAGGATCAGATGGATGCTTCCTAAGCCTCAGGGGTAACACGGTTTTGACCTAGGCCTTGTCAGCCCGGCACTCTCTTGGCTCTAGGCAGGCAAAAGCCCTCTGCAGAGTGGTGGAAGGCGGGACCTTCAGGTACCTTACCAGAGTGTGCCAACCCGCAAAGTCCCGTGGTGCGAGGTGACTCCGCCCACTGGATGACCCCGCCCACGCGGGTCCAAGGCGGATGCCGGCCAGGGGCAGAGACTCGTTGCAGGAATCTGGTTGGCTGAACCAGTCTGAGCCTCGTGGGAGGGCGGGGCGAGGCCTGTGCGGGGCGGAGCTTACGGCGAGGAGGGCGGCCCCGCGTCCCTAGGGGAAATGGATGCTAGGCAGGTCTGCGGGCGCCAGGGGCGGGGAAAGCGCTTTAGCTGGGGTCTGGCCCCGCCCGAGATCCGGAGGGAGGGCGGGGCTGCCCTCTTCCTCCCACACTGGCTCTGGTCTGAGCCGGGAACGGAAAAACGAGGTTCTCTCTAAGCTCCCTGCTTGGTTTTTGGGTGGCGGAAAGCGGAGCAGGAACATGGCGCTCGTAGGCAACGGAGCAGAGCTGGAAGCGGACGAGGTACTGGCCGGTGGGGATTGCGGGCACTGCCCCTGGATCCCCGGGGGGATGGCCAAGGTACCGCCCACTTGGTCCCAGTTTGGGACAGGCAGCCCCTCTCCTGGAGGAAGAGGCTAGGGCTGCGGGTGGGTGTACCCGTCCTTGGGAGGTTTGTTGCGCGTGAGTGAGGAGGGTCTGCGCGGCGCTCGGAGCGGAGGCGGCGCCAAGGTTCGGGGCGTTATGGGGATGGAGGATACTTTGTCCGTTCTGCGGGATGGGTGCGAGGGCCGGGTAGCTCAGGTCCCGCAGCACTGAGCTGTTCGGAGCCTCTTCAGCGACTCCAGGCTTTATGAAGTCTGACCCCGAAGTCCCGACACTGGCCATCCGGCGTTTGTATAGTCGTGTCTCGAGCTGGGAATCTCACCTTCTACGGAAATCTCCTGGTGTCAGAACCGAAAGGTTTACAGTCTATGAGAGTGGGGGACAACCAGAGAAGGAAGGAGCCCCAGGGGTGTCTGCACAGGCTGGCAGGGCAGGGGCTGCCGAGGGGGCCGGAGCTTGAGGGAACCGCCGCAGCCGCCCCGGAGTTGGTGCTGTCCCCTCCATCCACTGGGCCCGGGCCTTTCCCGAGCAGGTCCCCAGGGTCGGTGGTCTAGAGAGAAGGCGCTATGAGAACGGGCATCCTATCGTCTCAGCAGTGTTTAATTAGCCACTTCCTCCTCTGGCCGGCCCGCCCCAGTCTGGGCACCTTCGGGCGGGCGCGCTGGACCTGTTGATTTGTCGGCTTTTCTTTTCAGCACTTGGCAGCTCCGGCGAGGCGCTCTCTCTTGAGCTTGAAGTTGAGGCCCGCGGCAGCGCAGCAGTACCCACAGCTGCTGCTGGGGCTGCTGCCATTTTACCTGCCTTGAATTTTGCAAGTCGCCGCCTGAGAAGCTTAGTTTAAAATGATGCAATAGTGGAAGATCTGGAGAAGGCGGCTTAAGATTCCCATCCATTTCCTCAATGTCGGGAAACTCCTGACAATGAACAACACTGTTTTAAATGTAGCCCTTAAAATGAAAATAAAACAAAAACCGAACTACAGCTCCTTTACACGACTGGCAGACAAGAGGGGAAAATGGGTGGTCCAGAACCTTCCTTACAGCTTGTGCCTTGCAATTAAGGCACCAAGACCACAGACCAGTGAACTAGAGCTTGCTCAACTGCATCTATTTATTGTTGAAACTTTAGAACTACCTGAAAGAACAAATGATGAAATATTACATTTATTGCTGTTTTCATCTATGACTATCTTCATAGCTTTAGGTTCTCGTTTTGGTTGTCACAGATCCAGCTGTTTTTCATTTCTTAATTCTTCTCTGTAATAAAGGTAGTAACACTTTCATGGTGCTTTGACCATACATTCAGCTCTAGTTCTCCAAAGCTTTTATGGCTCCCTGTTGTATACTGAATTAAGTGTCCATGTACCTGGCATGCAAGGCTCTGGGCAGTGTGGTCTCCATCTGATGTTCCAGCCTTTTCCTCAGTTGCTTCCCTGTGTTTAGTTTAATCAGTATTATGCCCATGTTATAAATTAGGAGACAAGACCAGGAGTAGCTAGTAAATGTGGAGTGAAATGTTGAATCCCTAGTTTGCTTGTTGGAAAAAAAAATTGCTACACCTAGGACTATATAATTGTCTAGACCAGGGTATTTTTGAGAGAGAAAGAGGATGCTATTAATAATTAACACTGGGACAATAGGTGTAAACTGGGACTGTCCTGGGCATATTGAGACTTGTGGCCAAGCTAGCTATGCCCATTGCCAGCAAGATGAACTGATGTCTTGAGGTGCATTAGCTAGAGAGAAGACCTAATGCTGTGGGGGAAGCTAGATTTCAGAGCAGCATAGTGCCTGGCAGATACTTGAGAATACCTATTTGTTGAATGAATGACTGAAGAAGAGTGTACCTCATGGTGCACCATTTCCTTTGGTGTAAATTTTACCAACATTTGTTAAACGTTTGCTCTCTGCTCAAACTTGGTAGTTGCCTTAGAAAGGGAAGTCACAGTTTTGGCTCTCTAGGGTTCTTGTCTGGGTAGGGAGATACAACGTGTACAAGAACTTGAGAAAAGAGCTCAAGGCAAGGTAAGCAAGTTAGAATGGGTATCTTTATAGACTGAGTGCCCTGATTTGTAGAAAGTCCCTAACTTTCAGTGGGCCGAAGTGCCTTACATGTGAGTGAACAAGACCATGCTCTTCAACTTTACAGGTTATGTGGACTAAAATAGCTTATTTCAGTTGGGAAGTTTAATGCTTAATATATATTCGATAGCCTTTGTGGCCACTCTTTGCTATTCCAGAGATGTAAAAGGGTATAATTGGAAAAGTAGTACAAAGTGCAAAGTGGTGTAGTTGGAAAAGTAGTAGCTTAGAAATTAGGTGAACTGGGCTCTCAGCTCTGTTACTAATTTGCTCCATAGCCATTCATCCATTATGTGTGCAAACATCTGAATATCTTATGTGCCAAGCCTGGTGCTAGCCTGGAGACACAACAGTGAACCCGGCAGACAAGTACCTTGTCCGTAACTGGTGACTTTGAGCATGCCTCTCAATCTGTTAGGGCTCTTTTAAGTTTCCTCATATAAAGGAGTGTTTGCATGAGCCCTAAGTATTCTTCCAGCTCTAAAAGTCTGTGCTTTTGGAGAGGAGCGGGGCTTCATTTTGGGAGAAGGGCTAAGAATATGGGGATCCCTTTTTTTTCCAAGGTAACCAAAGAGATGATTGTAGTATAAGAGCTCTCATGGTAGCTGTGGGATATGGTGTTTATTTATTTTTTAAAAAGATTTTACTTATTTATTTTTAGAGAGGGGAAAGGAGGGAGAAAGGGAGAGAAACAGTATGTGGTTGCCTCTTGCATGCCCCCTACTAGGGACCTGCCCCACCACCCAGGATGTGCCTTAGACTAGGTAATCGAATTGGTGACCCTTTTCGCAGGCTGGCACTCAATCCACTAAGCCACACCAGCCAGGGTTGGGATATGGTGTTATCTTTGGTAAATTGATGTTTTTTTAATTTTTCTTTTCCAGGAGGATAAATGTGAGACTACAGAGGTCAGAACTTATAACCTCAAGGGAGGCAAACATTGGTTCTGGAGGGGGACCAAAACATCTTAGATTTTACAATGGTGTGTGGTCCTTCAAGGCTTGGTTAACAAATTCTTATTTCTTAACATTTAGATTTACCTCATTGTGTTTTCTTGGGAGTTACAGAAGCAACATGACATCAGTTTCATGAAAGGTAAACAGAAATTATGCAAGGTCAACACTACATACCTATGGCAAATAAATAACTGTGGTTGGAGGGACCATCAGTTGCTTGATCTTGGAATTGTATCTCTCTTGGTGAACTCCTCATACTTATTGGCTACCGTTAGCTGCCTTTGTTGCTTATGTTTGGCCCTCTGTGCTTTTGTAGATTTGGGATTTGAGAATCAGATAAAAATAGTTTGTTTATATTTTTTAATTTAATCCTATTAAAATTATTCAGTCCACCAATAATTATGTCAAGAAATACTAAAAAGAGACAATATTGGCAATATCTGAATGAATATCTAGCAGCTAGTTAAAAATTATTTTCTCATATGAAACAAAAGTTAACTTCATTAAAATAACTTTTAATAAGATAATTTTTAATTGTTTTATCTTCTCTGGAAAAATAACAGGTTTTGAATGTCTTAAAAATTTGGTTTAATTTCTATTAGGCAGAAATGGGTAATTTGCATATGTAAATTGATATATTTTATATTAAAATTCCATTGAAAGTTAGTAAATACAGTTATAAAGTTAAATGTTAATCGTTTTAAAATTTTAATTTAACTTAAAATTTTTATTTAGTCATTCAAATCCATTATTGAACAAAAAGTATAAACTGTATGTGTTCATTTTTGTATAAAGTACAGATATATCTCTGCTATTAAAATTTCATGGGGGAGTATAGTTAGGAAAAGTCTAAAAAGGCTTCTTAGGGGACAATAATGAGAAAAAGTTGAGAAACACTGGATTAGGGAAGGAAATGGCTTATGTGACAAATGTTTCCATGAACTGCTTTTTTGGTTCATGATTTTTAAGGTCTAATTCTGATTTAGAAAACTTTTTCTTTGGAATTTTAGGTGAAATTTAGATCAGATTGATTGCTACAATTTTTTTTAGAATTGCTTCACCCTTTCATTCCACCAGTGTTCCTTGAGCACGTCTTAAGGTGCTAGTAGTCTTTAGCTGCTGGAAGTACACACTGAGGTAAGACAGCATTATTGTCCTGGAGGAACAGTCGATAGCAAAAGACACAGTTACACAAATAGCTACTTCTCTCTTTGGGCCAGGGTAGCTTTTAGGTAAGAGGCCCATATAATTTTTCGTCATAAAAGGACATTGGAGAGTAAATGGCGTGCTTTCAGTAATCGCCCTAGGACAGCAGGTGCAAAAAGCGATGGTTGACCATCCTAATTGAGGGGCTGGCAAAGACTTGAAAGAACAGATGGTATTTAGGGGCTTGAAGGGTGAGCAGGATTGTGCTGGGAGGAGCAAGTGGGCTAAGGCTCTGGCCTGGGTGGCGTTGAGATGGGTGGGAATGAGAGCACACCTGGGCTCAGCAGGGCATTCAGCCAGAGGAGGAGAGCTGGTGAGGGCTGAGCTGCCAGGCCAGTTTGGATCATGTGGTACAGTGTCTGGAATGTCATGCTAAGGAGTCTGGGGTTATAGCTCCTAAAAATGGGGGAATCTTTTTTTTCTTTTCTTTGAATTGAAAGTATATTTATTTTTTAAATTCAGTATTATTTTGTATTAGTTTCAGATGTACAGCATAGTGGTTAGACAGTCATAAACTTTACAGAGTGTTCCCCCTGATATTTCCAGTACCCACCTGGCGCCATAGATAGTAATTACAGTATTATTGACTATATTCCCTATGCTGTACTTTACATCCTTGTGATGGAGGTTTTTTAATGAGGAAAATGTGATAGGTTATTTATTTTAGGAAGATAAA